GGACTCCAGGATCATGACCTGAGCCGAAGGCAGTCGCTTAACCGACTGAGCCACCCAGGCGCCCATGGTAGGCAGATTTTAAACAAAACAAAACCCCCACTGCAGAAATGCAAATCTACCTAATAAGACTTCCGAAACTTCAGCTCCCAACTTACTGATGATCACCGATGACAGTTTAATGCTGCTCAAAATTTTTAAGTATATTGGTATTTTTTCCCAAAAGGTAAAAAAACTGGCTGAAGATTATCTACTTCACTATCTATTCTTAGAGAATGAAACTGCCATAAATGTCTAAAAAATGTATGTGTTACTTTCTATTGAATTTAAGTAGTCAAATATTCTGCAACAAGTTTCAAAAATATGCCTAAAGTAATAGGGGAAATCGGTCTTTACAAGAAAAGCATAATGCAATCTAAATACAATGTACTTTGTCACCTAGTTAAAATGTTCTTTGGACAACAGTCTGCTTACTGGTGGAGGGCATCCAGTTAGCCCTTTTCAATCTGGCTACCGATTTAACATAGAACCTAGTTCCAGATTCTCTTTGTATGTCTAAGGCACAAAAATAGGATAGAGAGTCAACAGCAGAGCATCGGTTAGTTGGCATGGTCAGGGGATGAAGTATCCTATAGGGATCAAAAATACACAGAATTAAAAGCCGAGGGTGTCAACTACACTCTACACAACTCCTTGTCTTCATATCCATAGTACGCATGACTCAAGGGCATTCTTGTTAACTTAGAATCGTTACAGTCAGTTGTTACAATACACTGGGCCACAACCTGAGTTTTAAAGGATTGTTCCCGTAACATTTTTACTGGGACTCAGAAAGTTATAGTATTTTTGTTGGGAAAAGGAGACCTCATTTCTAGTCCTACCACTAATAGCTATGTGAGCTTGGGCACCTTTTTTGGGCTTAAGCTTCTCATCAGAAGTGGCTTGAACTGGTTTTTAACCATTGGAATCCTTTCTACAAATAAAGCCCAGTAAAAGATAAAACCAGAGCTGCTACAGCTGCAGAGGTCTGAAGTTTCACCCACCACTGCCACCACTGGGGAGTTCCAGGGAGCGCTGTCTTTCCATTTGTGTCCTTCCTGGGAGCCATTACTAGTCTCAAGTCCCAGCTTTCCTCCCTTTTCTGGGTCAGCAGTCACTCTTGCAAGGCTAAGGATTGCTTGATGTTGGATAACTACATAACCAAGGAAACTATTCTTAGAAATTGGATTGATGAATCAATCCCCACCACTCAATAACCACTCTCCCTTGTTTTCATTTGGGGCACTCCATGTAGTTACCTTGTTTAATCCTATACAACAACCGACAGACAGCTGTCTAGGTGAAGGGACATCTGACACCGAGACATTTGGCATTTATGGCTCTGTTCAAGCCCTGAGGGAAAAAAAAAACAATCCTTCCACCACAATGGTGTTCACTGTACTACAGGGCCAACATCCAGACCCTGGAAGAGAAGGAAGGAAAGCTACATTTTCTTTGCTCACTATGTTAATGTATCAGAACCTATTCAGCGAGGTTAAACTGAAAGAGAACTATAAAATAACTACTTACCTATATCAGATAAATTTGATTGATCATCAAAACCATCCAGATACACTTAAAAAAAACCCATATTCTCCAGGCTTTACCCTGGAGCTACTGAAACAAAATCTTTTGGGGTGGGGTGATGGGTAGATTCTGATGATCATTTGGGGTCTGGGAAACCACTGTTCTAGACACTGAAGTGATAAATGCCCTACCAATAGACAGACGTTTAATTTTTTAAGCTACCTTCCGTCTCTAAAACAAAAGCCATGTTTTACCAATAGCGAGTAGCTAAAAGCTAACAAGCTTTTAAGGCTGAAACATAGAAAAAATTGACTTTTAACGGATGGTTACAGAGCTTGCAGTTTTGGTTAAAGTAATCTCAAACACAGTGAAAGTAACCCAATATGGACATGGCAGCAAATACGGTTGGGTATTAACTTAGTCCCAAATGAGCACACGGGGTATTACTTGAGGAGAACCTTGAGGCGTACACTGAAGGATCTCTGAGAACACAGGTCAGCAACAGGTCATCTCCCTTCTACCTTGGGACCTACTTCAAAACCCAATTAGTTAGTTGGAAAAGGCCTAACTAAGCTCATAGAAAAATCTCTAGACCCATCGAGAATCTGAACCTAGCCCTAGGGTATGCTTTTCTTTGGGGTATGAGGGTATAGGTGGGATAGGATAAAACCTCTCGGCACTAATATTTTTGTAAGTGAGACTCCTCATCAATTCTGTTTCCTGGAGAATGATGACAGAAATTATTAAAATTCAGCATCATCTGAGGTTCCTAGGAGTGCAACCAGCAAAAAGCTCTTTGTTCTCCTTCTAATTCATATTTTTCAAGCCAAGAAAGACTAGCCCTTGAACAACACAAGTTTGAACTGAACAGGTCCACTTACATGCAGATTTTCTTGATAAATACAGTACAGTACTATAAATGTATTTTCTTACAGTTTTCTTAATAACATTTCCTTTTCTCCAGTTTACTCTAAGGATATAGTACATATATAACATACAAAATATGTGTTAAAAGCTTATGTTATGGGTAAGGCTTCTGGGCAACAATAGGCTATTAGTAGTTATGTTTTGGGGGAAGCAACAGTTACACTTGGATTTCAACTGCATGACGGTTGGCACCCCCAGCCTCCATGTTGTTCAAGGGTCAATTATACACATTTGTAGGGTGTTCTCCTGCTAATCTTTGCCAATCGAGATACACTATAATTCATTTTCCTATTACGCCGCAGCTGAGCCAGGTGGGCATGACTGACTTCCGGGACAACACGGTAAGAAGAGCACTTGAATTAGAGAGGCCCAGTTCCCCTTCTGCCTCCATCACTTACTGGTCTGGAACTTGACAAGTCAACCTCCTTAAGCCTCCATTTTCTCCTTCACAAAGGGGTTGTGGGAAAGGGAAATGAGACACACCAGACCCCGCACGCAGAACACCCAGCATTCAGCCATCTCTGTTTGGCCCCAGGATCTCGCCTTGCCTGTTCTCTCATCTGGTCAGCACCTTGTAACTCTTCTGTTATACACGGGGGGCCAGTTTTAAATATCTCAAATGGACAGTGAGACGCGATTACTACCCACGAGCAGTTAACACGGTCTTGGTTTTCCTATTGTGCCAGGCACAGGTTTTCTAGATTTGCTTAAATGACTGATTACCAGTTTCCTTTTCTCCACAAGTGACCTTGATTTGGCTACCGTTTCAGGTATCTGAAGGCCAAAGATTTCTCTCTAGAAACTAACAGAACCAGTTTGTTTCACTACAAACTTACCAATACCCATGATAGAAGGATCACATCCGGACACAAAGTAGCCCACAATTCTTGCCAGTGGTGTGAAGTTATGTTTTTTAACAGCATCTTCACTAGCTATTATAACAGCTCCAGCACCATCAGATACCCCCTGGGGAACAAAAACAGAAGATTAACTAGAGGGCAGAAGGCCCCAGTCAATCAAGGTTTGGATTAATGGGGGTAGAGGTAGGACTGTGGTGGTGCGGAAGAAGCAGGGCTGCCGTCTGGGCTACGACCAACGTCAGTACTGCTCCGGTGGGTCAGACGCTGTTTGAGGCACAGGATCCAGCCTCACCAAGGGAAACCAGGAAATAATGTCCAGGAAAAGCTTATGTCCAGATGTGGGGAGATGTAAGAAATCTGATGAGTTGTATGCATCAGAAAAACCAACCAACCCACCCCTGAAAACTGAAATAATAACCGAGTAGATTTCCTTCTAGATTCCTCATCATATTCAGAACAGACTAAGAAACTGGAGGAGTATTATATGGGAGTTAAAATATTTTGTTTGGGACTATGACAACCCCAATTAACAGAATATGAACACTGCCCGGTTAAGCTAAATAGCCAGACTAGCCTGGGAAGTGGCCAAAAGAGACCACGTGACTACTGTGCACCGAACGCGTCAGCAAGAGTCCGAGATGATCTGTGGCGCCACCTACCGAGGCGTTCCCTGCGGTCACAGTTCCTTCTTTCTTGAATACTGGGGGGAGTTTATTTAACTGCTCCAGGGTTGTTTGGGGCCGAGCATGCTCATCCACCTGCATTGTCTGTTTCCCCTTTTTCGTCTTCACCTCAATTGGTACCATCTCATTATTAAAGTAGCCAGCATCATTAGCTGAAATAGGAGAAAGACCATCATAAGAATGGGAGAAAAAGAAGATACACGAAACAAAATCAAACACATCCTTCTCAATTTAATTTCCGCTCTACCCTTTCCTCACAGGCTACTTTAATATAAGCCTTTGTTACATGTACAGCTTACACTGCCTGTTGGAGGACTTAATATACTGCCATAAATCTATGCAAATGCATTCTGCATCTTCTGAAAATTTTAATTTTGATCTTTTATACTACAATTTTTTTTTTACAAGGTATCACTAGACTATTAGCAGTCCTTGTCCATTACAGATATAATAGCACGAGGTAAAATTTAATGTCTCCTTTAAACTTCTCTGGGTGAGAGAAGAAGTAATTTAAATGTTACCAAGTTGTACAATGACAACGTACTGTACACTTAAAATTTGTTAAGGGTCGGTAGGGTTGATGTTAAGTGTCTTTACCAAGGTAAGAAAAAAGAAGTTGTCTCTAAAAGAAGTTACCGATCCTGGGGCACCTGGGTGGCTCAGTCGTTAAGTGTCTGCCTTCGGCTCAGGTCATGATCCCAGGGTCCTGGGATCGAGCCCCGCATCGGGCTCCCTGCTCCGCGGGAAGCCTGCTTCTCCCTCTCCCACTCCCCCTGCTTGTGTTCCTGCTCTCACTATCTCTGTCAAATAAATAAAATCTTTAAAAAAAAAAAAAAGTTACCGATCTAGGTCACCAAGGGATCTATGACTGAAATTTAAGACAAGCAACCCGAAGAAATTCTGTGAGTGATTGCGGACACAGCTCTAAGTGAACCAGCTGACCTACTTCCATCCCCACAGACTAGAATGGACTACAGTAATCCACCGCTTCAGAAACAGGATACGCCGGGAGTGAGACCACCTTCCTTCTGATATCCCTTTACAACAGGCTACACACTTCCCTTATCTGGTTTTCACAACTCTTAGGGCAACAGGGGAGGCAAATCTTTTTTCTCTCTATTGTACAGATGCCCAGTGAATAAGTAACTTGGCTGAGGTCGGATAACTTGTATGCGGCAAAGACAGAAACAGAACCCATGACTCTTGGCCTCGGGAGCAGCACCCTCCCACTTTACATGTGTAACTGAAAAACACAGAGCATGAACTGGCTGCCTTCGGCTCCGTCCCACTTCTCCCTCTGAAACGCTAAGATGGACTTTATTCTCACTGTTCCAAGTATTTAATGCCCCTAAAGAAGAGTTGCTGCTTGTTTTTAATTGTTTCATTTAAAAAATCTTTTTCAGGAGACTAGTAAGTGTCTTCAACTCACCATACTGTCATGTTACCCACTTTGGACTGGTCTGACAGTAGTGTGGGGTGTTACACCAAGGGCACCTGGGCTCTGGCCGCGGACAGTTCCGAGTCTTCGAGTCAGGGCGCAATGATTCTCAGGAATGGGAGCAGGTAGGCACAAAAGAATACCCAATGGGTCCTTTCCAAACATACCATCCCTTCCTTGTGAACAGGATATGCCTCAGGGAGGAGGACACCCGCTCTGTCCCAGCAGCCCCTGCGAGCCATCGCCTCTCACAGTCTAACAGAGTCCTCCAGAGTAGAGTCTCCTACTGACGTCAGAACAGGTTCAGGACTCAAGTGGCCAGATAAGGTCAATTAACAAGGCCACTTTTTAAGTAGTATTACTGTATTTCAAAAGAGAAATTTTGCAATCACGAACAGAATATCTACTCATATAAAAACAAAGGAATGGTGAAAAAAATGTGATTTTCAAAAGGTAAATTTATGACCATTATAATCTGAAAATGACAAAAATATCTTTTTTTATTTTATTTTTTTTAAAGATTTTATTTAT